ACTCCTTAAACACAATAGGCATGTGTATGTATTAGTAATAGCATGAAGCATATATATGGGAGGAAAAAATCACTGGCATTGTATCTTTGTTCACAGCAAACCTTCCTTAGGATAGGAAAAGAAAACAAAGATTAATTTCCTGGGTTTGAAGCCAGGAAGAAAAGAATGGTGTTCTTAGTGATCTGGAATTGAGAAGTAGGCCCAGGGTTAATTACAGAAAAAGTATAAGGGGTTTGGGGACTGGTATTTATCTTAATGTGCTAGACTTGGAATTTGAATAGAGAATTCTCATCCAGACTCTTAACTATGTATGGATGTTAAGCGTAAGGCATCTAAAAACACCAGTCACCCCTTTTCTAGGTTGTTTTGAAACTTTATAATGAATTAGGCTGACAATACCTGAACCTACAGATCATCTTAGCATCAGTAAAAGTGAGGCAGACAAAAATAAAGTTCCTCATAATTTAGTTCAACAGCAAGTGCCATATTTGAAGAGTTCTTGCCTTAAAAAATTGCACTCAATTTAAATCAAATTATCAGTACACAGGAAATACAGAGGATAGAGGAAGCAAGCAGCACCAAGAGAAGAACAATCAGCCAAACCTAGAAATTGAGAAATTCTACAGGACAGATGACACAATTTGTCCAATACATGAGTTGCATGGGAAGAGGTGATGGTACAGCAAGGAGGGCTGTTACAGACTAAAAGAGGACTACAGAGGAAGTAGGGGGGTTGCAAGTTGGGGTGCGCCTGGATGACTCAGTTGGTTAGTGTCCAACTCTTGATTTCTGCTCAGGTCATGATCTCACAGCTCATGAGCCTGAACCCAGGCCGGGCTCCCGCACTGACACTACACAGCCTGCTTGGGAAAATGGTAACTTTTTTAAGTAGGGTAATGGGTACAAGGAGGTGTATATGTTCTCCTCCCTACTTTTGTGCATATTTGAAAATTGTCATGATAAAAGCTAAAAAAAAAAAAAAAGTGTGGGGGGGATGCCAAAGACAGAAATCTTTTTTTGTAAATTCTTAACTGTTGAGAATAAACTCCAGAACCCTTCCCATGGCCTACAAAGGCCTGTGGTCTGACCCTGGCTGTTTCTCAGACCTCATATCTTTTTCTCCCCATTCCAGCCATTCATTCAGGTCCCCCACTTACGTAGAATGTGCAAAGAACAATTTGCCTCAGAGCTTGTTTGTATTTGTCTTTCTTCTGCTTAGAATTCTTTTCCTCCAGTTATCTAGCTGGCTGGCTTTCTTGGGGGATCTTTGTTCCAATTTTGCTTTAACCGAAAGTCCTACCCCGACCACCCTACATAAAATAACCTCCCTCTCCTGGTCACTATCTTTGCTTACTCTGAAGTATTTACTTTTTCTTAGCATTTCCCACCATTTGCTTATTGTCATTCATTCCCAAGAATGTTAGCTGCAAGGTGGTAGGGTCTTTATCAGTTTTATTGACAGTTGTATTGCCAGCACTTTAGAACCATGCCAAGCACTTAGTTACATACTCAATAAATATTTATGAAACAAAAATATAAACACTTGAGGTCACATTTAATAAAACAGGTATGATTTTCCTCTCTGCAATTGTTCTACTTACCTTTCACTTGTGTTATCATCTTTTTTTTTTTTTTT